GGAAAAGTCTTTATAGAAGAGAGCAGTTATGTTGACTATCTTTTATTGAATTTCATAATGTCTTAAAATTTTCCAGAGACAGTCTCTATGGACGCTGTCAAAAGCTTTCTCAAAGTCCACAAAATTAATATATATACTTCTCTGCCATTCGTTGCATTGTTCGAAAATGTTACGAAGGGTGAAGATTATCTCAGTTGTTCCTCTGCCCTTTCTGAATCCTGCTTGTTCCACTCGTAGGCATTTATCAACTCCTTTTTCAAGCCGCATTATGATGATTTTACAAAATATTTTGCTTGGTACTGAGAGTAGAGTAATTCCCCTCCAATTACTGCAGTTTGTTAGTCTTCTTTTTGGGGTATTTGGACTATTGTTCCTTCAGTCCTGTCATTAGGCAACACTTCTTTTTTCCAAATATCCTTGAACAATTGTTCTAAAATGCTAGCAGTTGTGTTGGGATCTACTTTGAGAAGTTCTGCTGGCAGTTCGCTTTTGGCTGGTGCTTTGTTGTTCTTTAAAGTGTGGATAGCTTTAAGGATTTCTTGTAAATGACAAGGAGCCTATTGTTCTTACTCGCCAATAATTATGAACACAACTCACACAGTCGTGAATTGTTGTTAGCGGTGTTCACAGTCTGTCTGTCTGTCTGTCTGTCTGTCTGGCTGTCTGTCTGTCCGTCCGTCCGTCCGCCCGTCAGTCTTAGTGCATGTCTTTTTATGCATGTGTCTGTCTGTGTCATTTGTATGACTGTTTTGAAAGGCGAATTTGATAGGGGACCCCCCACGCCCCCACCTCCTTTTACCCCTACCAAGCTTTCTTCGTGAAGGTACGCCTGCTCTAAGCCCCACACTCCTCTCTCTCTCTCACATGTCACTCCTCTCTCTCACACATTATTCCTCTCTCTCACACGTCATTCCTCTCTCTCACACGTCACTCTCTCTCTCACACATCACTCCTCTCTCTCACACGTCACTCTCTCTCTCACATGTCACTCCTCTCTCTCACACGTCATTCCTCTCTCTCACACGTCATTCCTCTCTCTCACACGTCATTCCTCTCTCTCACACGTCACTCTCTCTCTCACACATCACTCCTCTCTCTCACACGTCACTCCTCTCTCTCACACGTCACTCCTATCTCTCACACGTCACTCCTCTCTCTCTCACACATCACTCCTCTCTCTCATACGTCGCTCCTCTCTCTCACACGTCACTCTTCTCTCTCACACGTCACTCATCTCTCTCACACGTCACTCCTCTCTCTCACACGCCACTCCTCTCTCTCTCACACATCACTCCTCTCTCTCATACGTCACTTCTCTCTCTCTCACACGTCACTCTTCTCTCTCACACGTCACTCATCTCTCTCACATGTCACTCCTCTCTCTCACACGCCACTCCTCTGTCTCACACATCATTCCTCTCTCTCACACGTCACTATCTCTCTCACACGTCACTCCTCTCTCTCACACGTCACTCCTATCTCTCACACGTCACTCCTCTCTCTCTCTCTCTCTCTCTCTCTCTCTCTCTCTCACATCACTCCTCTCTCTCATACGTCGCTCCTCTCTCTCACACGTCACTCTTTTCTCTCACACGTCACTCATCTCTCTCACACGTCACTCATCTCTCTCACACGTCACTCCTCTCCCACACCTTACGTTACTTTACCAAGCCCCATTGCTCCTCTCTCAACATGTCATTCTTCTCTCCCAACTCTATCGATGCTCCCTTCTTCTAACCCGTCTCTCGTCTCTTCCAACCCGTCGTTCCTCTTTCCCAAACCGTTGCTTTTCTCTTCCAAAATGTCCTTCGTCTCTCCCAACCCGTGGTTCCTCGTATCTCCCAACCCGTGGTTCCTCGTCTCTCCCAATCCGTCGTTCATCGTCTCTCCCAACCCGTTGTCCCTCGTCTCTCCCAACCAGTAGTTCCTTTCTCACAACCTGTAGCTTTTCCCTTTCAACCCTTCGTTCCTCTATCCCGCCCGTGCCTCTTCTCTCTCTCAAACCTCCCGCTCCCATCCCAAAACATCACGCCTCTTTCAACATGGAGTCGCTATTCTATCCCAACTCAATCTACGCTCTCCTCTCCCAACCTGTCGCTCCTCTCTTCCACCTCGTTCATCTTCTCTCTTTCAACATTACGTTCCTCTCTCAGACCTCACGCTCCCATCCCAACTCATCGCTCCTCTCTCAACATGGAGTCGCTATTCTCTCCCAACTCTATCGACACTCCCCTCTCCAAACCTGTCGATCATTTCTTCCATCCCGTTCTTCTTCCTTTCTCAGACCTCACGCTCCCATCCCAACTCATCGCTCCTCTCTCAACATGTTGTCGCTCTTCTCTCCCAACTCTATCTACGCTCCTCTCTCCCAACCCGTCGCTCCTCTCCCAGGTTGTCCAAAACAAATGTAGGTCGCGTGACTGGAATCACATGACAGACGTGACGTCATCACCAACAATGGTGGTCAGTCCCGTTTTCTTATAACCCCAGTCAGTGTCGGTGCTTTCTCTTCTTCTCGGCTACCGTCTCTTCACGGCTTTTTGAGGAAATTGTGTGCGTATATCTCGAATAATCTTGTGTTTGTTGAACGGTAAATTTATATTGATTGACATATCAGGAGTGTTAAGATTTCTCATCGAAACCGATGATTGTTGTCATGGCTGTTCTTTATCTTTCTCTTATTTCTTGTTTTGTCACTTGTCTGTTTCACTTTCAATCAATACTTTACTTTCATCGAACTTTTACTATTCAGTTTATTCGAAATTATAAAGTTTCTAGTTTACATCATAATGGTAACGTTTGTTCAGATTTTTATTGATAGAACTCACGAAAACGACTGATTTACTGCAAAGTGTGGTCACTATATTATATCAGATTATCAATTAAATAAGTTTAACTCTTTGAGTCCCAGGGTGTTTAACATCAGAGTCCCAAGGGGTGGTAGTCATGGTAATGCAATTTTGAAATGTCACAAGAGTGACATATTAACAAATTATACCAATTCAACTGCCTGGCAACATACACATATTATACATCAGAATGACCTGGGTTTGTTGAGGAATAACATAGGCTATCCTCCGAATAACGGTCGTAAATTATCGAAGTGGAAAATATACCCTAACAGGGCCTCAGTCATGTGTCAATTGTGCACTTCCGTCATCTTAAAATGCGTGCTCACGGCGACTTCTGCCACCGCCGATAGTGTTCCCCATGCCGCGTGAGCGCTATGACTTTGTGTTTTCCAACTGTTTAACATTAAACAAAAAAATGTCCTGAATAAATGTAAAACGTTATGTTTTTATTTAAGCTACTGTACTGATGTAGAGGTTAGCGAATGCAGTTAACAATTTTGTGATCCTTGAGTGTTGGAGCTCGTTGCTTGCGGTGAACAGTTTAAACCCCCCCCCCCCCCCCCCCCCCGCCACCCAAAAAAAAACAAAAAAACATGGATCTCCTGGATTTCAGACGGTGGTATGAGAGTCATGTCGTGGAAGGCAGCACTGCACTAAGTGAATGGACATTGCTTAATGTAGCAAAGCATGGCATGTCTAGTTTGAGAATGGAGGTGGAGGCAGTCACTGCTGGCTTGAGAATCAGCTGCACACACATGTCATAATTTTAACTGACTCACAGAGCATTTTGAGTGAGGTGGAGAGACAGGCATGCCTCATGCAGATTGGCAAGAATCGCAACATAGTTCCCTGGTAGTTAGCATCTTTTGGATATTGTCTCCAGGGTATGCCGGTGTGTTGAGAAATAAGCAAGCAGATTGACTGGCTGGTTCTGCACCACTTGGTGGTGAATTGATGTATGGCAAGCTAGATGTTGTGAGGGCCCTCTGGGAGCAAGTGAACAGTGTGGAGGCACAGACAGATCATGATGGTCTGAGTAGAAGGGCTCTGTGAAGAGTTGCTAGGGGATTGGGCTGACGCTCAACACTCAAGGGAAAGGTGAGACCGATATACAATCAGACAGTTACTGGTGCTATCAGAGTTGGAACTCTTCACGTGCTGCTGAAAATGGGACTGAGCACTTATGGGAATGTCCTCTTAATTCGACATTTGTCAGTCTCAGCATGGAAGAGACTGCTGTCTCACCATGTAACATTCCCAAACACATCAGTGGTACACTGTAGCCAGCTGGCAGGCAATGCAGCAAACACATGTGGGAAGAAGCATGGACAGAGCAGATTTCATCAACGCTGTCCGGACTGGGCTAGTGGGTAATGACGAATCTCTGACACTAATACGATTACATGACATGGGAGTAAAGCATGGCAAAGGACGTCTATGCCGCTTTCGAGGCCGAGATAGGAGACATTATCAACCAACCTCTCATGGAAGCACAGTGGCAAGCTTCACTGGAAAGGTCACGACTAGTGAGCATACTTTGTACCTTTTCTCCAGGCCATGCCGATGTCGAGGGTAATAAACTGGCAGACAGATTGGCTGGATCTGCGCTACTGGGTGGTGAATTGATACATGACAAGACAGATGTGCTCAAGGCCCTTTGGGAACAAGCAACAGAGTCAGTAGAGAACGAAGATTATTATGGCCTGGAGAGAATGAGGCACCTGGGGCCGGCTGACTACACTCAGAGGAAAAGCCAAACGGACATTTAACCAGACTGTGACCGGTACCGTCAGTATTGGAACTCTGCGCTGGCTGCTGAAGATGAGGACGAGGCATGCATGGGAATGCCCCAAGTGCTGTGATGTCCCGAGTGCTGTGATGTCAATTCTCGACTCAACTCAGCTCAGCTCATGGGAACAATTAGTAGCAGCACCTTGGAGTGGTTGCTGCATCCGAGAACTGAGCACGCAGGGGAATGCCCAATCCCATTGTGCAGTGACGTTGGCTGAGATAAAATAACATAACATAATTGTAGGCAGCCTTCATTGTACAGACAGCATTTAAAAAAGTAAATATTGTATCATAATGCTGGCACTGATTTGTTTTCAGACACCACACAACAACATATTCTACCACAAATAACAGACAATGACTGGGAGGTCCAAACTTCTAAAAGTGGTTCTGCTTGGGGACGGAGGTGTGGGAAAGAGCTCTCTGATGAACAGATTTGTCAGCAATAAATTTGACTCCCAGTCATTTCACACAATTGGAGTCGAATTTTTAAACAAAGATGTCACAGTAAGTACCAGTGACCAAGTGTTTCTTATATTAGAAAGTCAACAAATGATTCTTACATTTATTTTGATTCAGAATAAAGGTGAATTATCTTCTTCTGCTTTTGCTAGCAGGTAAGAGGAGGAACAAGTGATAGTCTAGAGCAGTGATTCTCAACCTTTCTAATGCAGTGACCCTTTAAAACAGGTCCTCTTTTTGTGCTGACCCCAGCCATAAATTATTTTTGTTGCTACTTCATAACTTCAGTAAATATGTTTCTTCCGATTGGTCTTAGACGACCCATGTGAAAGGGTCGTTTGACCCCCAAAATGGTCGCGACCCACAAGTTGAGAACCGCTGGTCTAGAGTTTAATAGATGGTACAGGCTATTGTCATTACATGTAAATTAACAATGTTTGTAACGTTGTCAGTGTATGGTCTTTTTCGGTGGTCTCTTATTCTCACTTCAGATCATGTTAGATGTAGCGCCTGTTTTGGTAAGGGATGTTGCTGTGTTCCATCGAGACGCCAAAACCATTCGATTTTCTGTTTTTCACTCTGGTAATCTTAGTTTCAGCTTCATAGCAAATGGCTCACCCCATGGTTGCTCCAACTCCTGTGCCAACGAAAAACACACAGATGTTTATCACAGTCCCTGGAAGGATTGACAGACTGCTTGTCAATGTGCTCTTCCAGAATAAGTCTCAGGGTAATTATTTAATCCAGACAACTTCTTCAAGTTCAAAAACCAGCTGGTTCTTCTCTCATGATTGTATCAACTGCCTCTTTAATTCTGTTGATGATTACTTTGCAAAAGGTTTAGATGGTTTTGTCCCATTTACATTCATGAACAGATGCATTTGTACTATAGACTGATGATACTTTCTTCTGGGTTTCATTTTCTTGAACTACTACTTGTTCTCTGTTACGCTGAATGTTGATTGGTGTATACCAAACCTCACATCCCACTTGTACCATCAGCTTCGGGTGGAGGAGTGCGTTGGGGAAGATACTTGTCTTACTCTAAGAAGAGGAAATGCAACTTGAAAACTTAATGTTTTTGACAGAGCTAACCAGGTCGTTAGTTGTCAGTTGGCATCTGGTCTAGGAGGAAAGCTCTGACAGGCTGTTTACCTTTCCTTTGGAATAAAACAAAGCAGGCTAATGCCTGTTTTTTGTCCAGTCAGTGAAACAAAACCTTTGATCACCTGACTCAGGTGCAGCCACCACAAATTATGCATGTTAAGATGTTTATTTTTTGCCTAGGTGGAGAAAACAACCATCATCTTACTGAGTATTCAAACCTTGATCTTCCCCTGCTCTGCACCTATTAGCTAAACAATAAAACAGCTTGATACTAGTTGGTTTAGGAAACCTATGCTCAATTAAAACATGACGATAAAGGGCATAAAAAGAATTTTAATATTTCCTTTATATATTTTGAAATTGATTTACAAGAATGCCATTAAATGCATTTAAATGGTATTTCACTTGAACATTTCAGGTTGGTGGAGAAAATTACACAATGCAAATCTGGGATACCGCAGGTCAGGAAAGGTTCAAATCTCTCCGAACACCATTTTACAGAGGAGCTGATATTTGCTTGTTAACTTTTGCAGTTGATGACCGAAAAAGCTTTGAGAACCTACCAATGTGGAAGCGGGAGTTTCTTTATTATGCTGACATCAAAGAGGGATCCCCCTTCCCATTTATAATCATTGGAAATAAGGTGGATGTGCCGAACAGGGAGGTAGCAGAAGACATGGCTCGGACCTGGTGCGCTCGAAACGGGAACATGCCATATTTTGAGACTAGTGCGAAAGATTCCACAAATGTAGAAAAGGCTTTTATTTCTGCTGTCTCCTGGCTACGAGATATGGAGGACCAGTTAGATATCCGGCCAGTGCAAACAAACTCTGTCGATTTGAGCAAACGATCCAAATCTTCCAATTCTGGTTGCTGTAGTTAATTTAGTCATCACCTTTTAATAAGTTATTTGTTATCACTGATTGCTGTTTGAGAGTGGTGGGGGAGAGTCAAATGCTCACTCTCTTGGTGCTGTGAGAGCTGTTTTGCAAGTATGAAATGGGGGTAACAGATTTCTAATGATGTTGTAAGTCAAGTAAAAGTACACTATCCTTTTGACGCCAGTAGTGCATCAGGCACATGCTGCTTGACTCATGTTTTATAGACCAATCAGCACTTGGTGGGGGCATGGTCAAATCACTGTAGCCACCTTTGCCTCCCGAGACATTACTTTGTGCCCATTTTTGGTTCTGGAAGCAATGATCAGTTTGAGTTGAAAAAAGGGACTTGGAGGGTGGCCTTAAAGTGGATTTGAACCATAAACTTTTAGGCCAGCAGAATTGTTTTTTATTTTGATGACTGTCGCTAGAGGTCTTGCTTTGAGGTTATGTGCAATTGATTATGAAAGATCTGTTACTGATTCAGTTTGTTACAAAGTGAATGTGATTACAAATTTGTGGAGGTCAGAAGAAATTAAAACTAAAACTAAACTTAACATTTTTAATTCCGTAAAATCAGTACTAATGCATGGAGCAGAAACAAGGAGAACAAACTAAAACAATTATTAATAAAC